TGTGTGTTCTATAGTAGAGATGATTTTGTGTTTCTCTCTGAGTGTATGTGTAGAAGAGCCTATTGTGTGTGTGTCTTTACATCAAAACATATCTGTTCTACCTTTTCTATTTCTCCATTATTATATAATTTCTTCTCTTTATATGATGATACCAAGACACAACTCATTTTTTCTGAAAAGTATATAATGTAATGCTTCTTGATGATGGAGTGATACACACACACACAAACACACACACACCTATTTTGTAAGTCCTTAATCTCTTCATGGAAGTACTCAGGCTCTTGTTATGAGTACATCATTAGGTATGCGTGCACAGATCTCTTCTGCATCTATTCCATCCCTTCAGGTACATACCTTCACTCACTGCTAGATCATATAGTGCTTCTACTTTGGGTGTTTTGAAGCATCTCCATACTGATTTCCTCTGTGGCTTCACTAATTTACATTGCCAGTAACAGGGTCTGAGAGGAGGTGTCCCCATCTCCTCAGACCCAGATACTGCTCTCTTTGCAAAGCTATTGAACACAGATACTGCTTGAATAATATATTTCTTAGATGGAGTATCTAGTGTCTTTGGTCATCACCTTCTCCTCTGAACGGAAAGAGCACAAATGGCATCCTCAGCATGCTGAAACCTGAGATGCTCTCCCCACCTCCACAAGATGCTCAGAGGCTCAACTGAGCCTCCTCCAGGTTGGACAGCACAATTGCTTCCTTGGAGTTGCTCACATTTGCTACTGTTCTCAGTGCCCAGAACTGCTGAAGATCATGGATTCTATCTGTCATCCGTGTTCCTCATTTCCTAAGTATACTTCTCCCACAGGAAGAAAAATGGGGGGACCTGGATAGCAGCACTGGAAGAATTAGAGGAAGATTCTGGGCATCTGGCACATCATGGTGCACATCAGACCATCCATGAATTTCAGGAAGGTTTGATGTTGGCAACACGAAGATACAGTGTGCCGGTGGTAGACTATTGGAAGTGTGTGTGTGTGTGTGTGTGTGTGTGTGTGTGTGTGTGTGTGTGTGTGTACATGCTCACATGGATATATGCATTTGTACTGTACATCTATGTGTGTGAGGGTACATCTGCATGTGTGTGCATGAACAGAGGCCAGAGGACTTCAGGTCTCCTCTTCTATCATTCTCCACCTTATTCCCTGATACAAAGTCTCTCTCTGAATCTGGAGCTAGAGTGTCAGTCAGCAAGCCCCAGTGATCCTCCTGTCCCCACCCCCACAGGTCTGCAGCCATATATCTGTTGATATTGGGTTTTTTTTCATGGTTTTGGAGATTTGAACTCAAGTCCTCATGCTTGGCAGCAAGTGCTCTTGCTCATGCTGTTTTTCCACCCTCTAGAAGCCTTTAATGAAGCCAATAACATGCAGACTTAAGCTGCCTTGCTCTGTCTCCTCCACTGAAATAGGGATGGGCCAAAAACAGCCCCAGCCTTTGCAGAAATGGCATCCTCTCTGATTTAAGCTTACTGCCTTGGTTTAATATTGTTCTCAGGCATGATGAGTTATAGTCACTCTTGTGTTCAGCCAAAGTAATTCCTGGTTTTAATATTTAATTTGCAGTGGTGGTTTAGTCTGGTTGGCACCTCTAATATCATTTGGAGAAAATACCTTGTGAGAGACTGTTAACTCAGGTTAACCTGCAAGAGATGTATGTGGGATAAATTCTTCACTGTGTTAATTGAGTGGTTAGACCTGCCCACTGTGGGTAGCATCATTCCCTGATTTGTCCTGAAATGTAAGAATGGAGAAATAAGTGATCCAAATCGTTAGCAAGCAAGTGTTCATTCTCTTAGCTCTTGACAGCAGATGTAACTAACTGCTTAAAGCTGCTCTGACTTCTATCAAGTGATAGACTAAAATCTGGAGTTGTAGTTAAGATGAATTCCCCTCTGGTACATTACCTTTGTCAGGGTATATTTATCACATCAGTAGAAATGAACTAAGGATTCACTGCTATTGTCAGACATGGGATTTTATGCTATGAATATTCTTGTCTATTTAAAATCCATGTGCCATGGAGAAGACCTATGTCAGCACAGGAATTGGCTCCTGAGGGTTCTGTAATGCCATCCTCAGAGTGTAACAGCTGCTACCTTCATCAGAACAGATGTAACTACTCAAGAGAGACCCTCAAGTTCAAGTCTGTTGACTGTTGACATTCTCTCCTAGATGGAAGGGTTGGGGAAGTCACTGGGCTCATGCATGGGATTCAGGAGCTTCTAACCATACCTCTTAGTCCATTGCAGCCCTAACTGCATGCAGACTAAAAGTCTCAGTAGATTCTGGACAGTGGGAGGTTGACTGAAGAGAGAAGTCTGCCTATGCAGTTGTGGGGAAACCATCAGCCATGATGGGGTGAGACTTTCCAGTGTTGCAGCTGCCGTGAGGTCACCTACACTCCTGTGGATAACCCTTCACCCATGCTATGTAAGTGAGCCCAACAAACTCACTGACCCTAAAGTTACACTTTTGTGGAGCTCTATTTTAGTTTGTCATTGGTGTCCAATGAGGAGCAGTGGACATTTTTTCATACTGTGTGGAGGGAATTCTGGGAACACTGGCCCCAAGTTAGAGCCTTTTAACAGTGGCAGTGGGATTTCTGAACACAGAGAACCAGCCTCCACAGTTGATACTGTGGACCAGGGAGACTCAAGTAATCTGAAAAGGAAAGAAAAGGCTCCCAGGAATTTTATTTCTAAGGTGACAAATTGAAATAACTCAAGGCCTAAATCATTAAAATGCTCACTACCAAAAAATGTCTCTTTGGACCTTCAGAGCCTAAAATATCTGGTGTCTTTCTTCCTTTCTCCCTCCCTCCCTTCCTATTCATGTGTAAACATGTGTGCCTGCATGAGTTTATGAGCACCACATGACATGGATGCTTGCCACCATCAGAAGAGAGTGTTACACCTCCCAGAACTGGAGTTACAGGTCACTTGGGGCCACCCAATGTGGGTGCTTGAAACTGAAGCTAGGTCCTCTTCAAGAGGAATAAAAGCTCTTAGCCACTGAGTCATCTCTCCAGTCCCTAGTGGCTTCTAACTATTAATTAAATTTGTTCTTAAACAATTCCCCACATGTATAAAGTGCATACTGACACACTCTGATCCTTAGCCTCGTTCATCTCCCTAACACCTCTGTCCACTAGTGCCGTGGGATGGTCTGTATGTTAAATGTGTTGCTCTGACTGGTTAATAAATAAAACACTGATTGGCCAGTAGCCAGGCAGGAAGTATAGGTGGGACAAGGAGAGAGGAGAATTCTGGGAAGTGGAAGGCTGAGGCAGAGAGATGCTGCCAGCAGCCACCAGGACAAGCGAGATGTAAAGTACCAGAAAGTCACGAGCTGTGTGGCAACTTATAGACAAAAAGATATGAGCTAATTTAAGATACAAGAACTAGATAACAAGAAGCCTGCCATGGCCATACAGTTTGTAAATAATGTAAGTCTCTGTGTGTTGACTTGGTTGGGTCTGAACAGCTGCGGAACTGGCGGGTGAGAGAAATTTGTCCTGACCGTGGGCCAGGCAGGACCAGAAAAAAATCTAGCTACATACTTCCTACCCTCCAACGAACCTCACCCATGCCCACATCTGTTTATTCTGTTTGTGACCTACTGAATCTATCCAGGGTCATGTGTATGACCCCGGAGCTGGTGCTCTTCACTGGAAACTGGTGGGCTCAGCAGGGAGTACATAACCAAGGACAATGACTTCCTCTCTCAGAACCTCTTAACAGCTGTTCCAAGGTCATGGATTGGGCCCTGATAGCACCTGACCATTACTTGACTGATAGGGCAAGTCTTGCATGGGTCCAGGGCAGGCAACTGCTGTTGTGAGTTAGTGATTGCAATAGTTGTGTGGATCCTAGAGAATGGCATTTGCAGCCCTTGACTCCACCTTCAGTCTCTTACATGCTCTCTGTACCCTCTTCCAGAATGTTGCCTGGCCTTAGAGGAAGATGTCTATATGTCTTGTTTAGTGCTGAGGTCACAACTATCACTCATTCTCAGCATCATGAACAGCCACCAGTCTCTGAAATTACTGCTGTTCATTGTAAGAATGCTTTCTTAATGCCCGCCCATCCCAATCCAATCTCTTCCTAGACATAACCTATGAGAAGCTTGAAAGTGGCTGCCAGGTTTAACTTTCTGAAAAGTAACATGTCTGTTTGAAGAAAACTGAACTGTGTTATAGGTCAGGATAAACTTCAACACTCCAGGTAGGAGGATAAAGGAGACATATGCTGTAGATAAGAATGGTTCACTCAGGAGATAGCTTTACTGCTTATGCTCTCCCTGTACCTCTTCCTCTCCTAATGAAGACATTAGCATACTTGGGTTTCCCAAGATGAACCTTAGATGGTGATAGCCTTGCCTGTTCCAGGAAGCCAGATGCTCAATACACCTGATCCCTTTGTGCTGATTCTCATCTCATCTTAAGCGTTGGATCTGACTGACATACTTTTCTGTTGCCATGATAAAAATACCCAGACAGAAAGCAATATAGGGATGGAAAGGTTTATTTTGGCTTATTGCTCCTAAGAGATAGAGTTCATCATGGTTGTAGAGACATAGCAACAGGCAGGGAAAGGTAAAGCATGGCATCGGGAACAGGAAGCTGGCTGATCACACTTTCATCCAGACACAAGACACAGAGTGAGAACAGCAGATGAGGTGAGAATATAAACTCCAAAACACACCCCTAATGATGTGCTTTCTCTAGCAAGGGTCCAGCTGCTGAAGTTCCATCAACTCCTCAAACAGCACCACCTACTGGAGACCAAGTGTTCAAATAGGCAAGCCTCTGGGGGACAATCTCAGTCAGACCAACAAAATGGTGATCAACCCAGAATTTTCTCCAGGAAGAAAGCTGAAAATATGGGTCAGAACCATAGTCTCAACCAAAGAAACTGCAGGCACTGGAGAGGACAGAGCAGTGGCCCAAGCCCCTGGGGACAAGGTGTGTGGAAAAGTAGAATCCAGATCTATTGTTAAGAGCCCAGTATCCACAGAAAGGCAGAAGGAACTGAAATGAATGTACTTCAAATTTGACTAAGTGATAAATAGGTTGGACAAACAATGGCCATGGAGGTGGGCAGATTTCACCTAGAGCAGGGAGATGCAGGCTTCTTGCAGATCCACAATTTCGCAAAGGAACATGTGTTATCATTCCATCCAGTACTTGAAATTTCTGCACAGTCTTCATTGCCCATGTTGTTAGGCTCCCCTTTTAACCAATATTTTCTGAAACTGAGAATCCCCAAACAACATGAGCTTCTGTCCCAGCCTATACTGTCACTATATCTAACTTCTGACACTAGAATGCACTCACATCCATCCCATGTGCATATTGCAGCCATACCTCACCCAGAACCTGATGGCATGCTTAAACTATTTGTGTGAGAAACCCTTATTCTACAATACAGAATCAAGAGACTTCAAATTGTGAAATTGATGCCGTTTTATCTTAGGTTTTGCAGAATCGTGTGTCAACTGGACAAAGGGCAAAAAAATCTCCCATGCAGATTTGATGCAAAGCAGTGGTTTTTTTTTTTTTTAATATTCCTTACTGCATTTTTCTGTCCCCCTTTATTCCTCAATGACTAAGTTCTTCAGCAGGGAACATTCTTCCCAGCATCTAGTATAGCCTCCTTCTCAAATTCCCCCATTCTATTGAGTCAGGACACAAAACCTTGTCTAACAAATACCCTGGGACTTGAGATTCCCTCCCCACCATCCCTGTCACATGGACTGAGTCACATAGCAGCTTCCTGTCACTCTCCAACCCTAATCTAAACTGAAATCTCCTGACATGCAAGTGCCAGCTGTGGAAATCTGGGGTCCAGTGTTTCCTCCTTATCTGTGATTCTTTGATGATCTCTATCATGCCTCATACTGAAAATGGAACATTATGACATCTCAGAGCCCACTGACATTCCAAACTAGCCTGGTTTATAATCTCCCATGTTTCTTTCCATGGACATCAAGAGAACGGCCTTGGCCTCCTTCCTTCCACCTGTTTCTTTTCATGTTTTTCATGGTATGAGGCAGTTCCTTTGTAGCTCACATGACATCATGGATCTTTAAGTATGACAAGCTGTATTTTTGTTTGTTTGTTTGTTTGTTTTGAGGCAGGGTTTCTCTGTGTAGCTTTGTAGCCTGGCCTGGAACTCGCTCTGTAGACCAGGCTGGCCTGGATCTCACAGATCTGCCTGCCTCTGCCTCCTGAGTGCAGGAATTAAAGGTGTGAGCCACCACATCAGGATGCACTTTGTATTTTGAAACAGGGTCCCTTGCTGAGCCTGAGGTCACTGATTGCCAGTTCTGGTGAGCTGGTCAGTGACTCCTGGTTTCTGTCTGTCTCTGTCCTCAGTGCTAGGATGACAGATGCTTGCTATCACCTTGGTTTTTGTGGGTGCTGGGAATCTACACCAAGGCCCTCATGCTTGCATGTCAGGCACTTTACTGAATGAGCCAGCTCACCAGCCTCCACCTCATATTATTAAAGAAAGGGTCTCTAACTGAACCTGACGTTCACAATGAAACTGAACTAGCTGCCCCGTAGGCTCTAGGAGCTGTTCTGTCTTTGCCTCCCCAGCACTAGTACTACATGTACATGTCACCACACCATTTTTTTTAATGTGGATGTTGGAGATCTGAACTCAGATCTTCATAATTGTGTGGTGAACACTTTTCCCAGAGTCTCTTGATATAATCTCCTTCACTTCCTGCCTCATGACCAGCCCTCATCATTCTCAAGTAACCCTGCTGGTGTTAAAGGTTCTGGGGGAGGAAACTCAGGTTCTCATTCTTGCAAAGCCGACACTTTATTGTCTGAGGTTTGCCCCTCCCCAATTATTTAACACACTATACTTAAACAATCCAAACAAATTGCAAACTGCTCCTGCCCACTCTGATTGTGGAATGTAAAGGACCCAATAACGTGGGTATGAAAACCCTCCCCCATCTACTCAATGAATATCATGGACACTTAAGCCTAAGGGAGGGAGGGAGGGAGGGAGGGAGGGAGGGAGGGAGGGAGGGAGAGGCAAGGACTTGGAGGACAGCTGAGGTCAGTTTCACAGCCCCACCCACTCTCTGTGGGGCTCCATGATCCCAGGGCTACCTGTCTTCCATAGGTGAGCCATCTACCCACTGCCATGAGCCTTCCTCTTTCAGGTCAGAGAGACCCAGCCAGGCAGATCCTTTATCCTTAGAAATCACACTCAGGAATGTCTGTAAGCAAAAGACAGAAGTCAGGAACTTTCTACTTCATTCCCAGTGTTCCACCTGTGGCTCCCCAGGGGCATTGACTCACACCTGAGAGAAGCCCCTGACACGTGCTCTGGAGCCTGAGTCCCCCACACACCTGTATCTTACGGCCTAATGAAGTCTGACTTGCAGTTTTTCCACAGCAGGAGTCTGCACACATGTTCCTGAAAGCATTGCCAGTATCTGTGATGAGCACACCCACACAAACTCGCCCATAAGGTTTAATGTGTTCAGGATGGCTAGCAGTGTGCAGCACCTTTTAGCTCTGTGTCGAGTGATGCTCCATGTGTACACAATTGCATAATTTACACTGACAAAAAGTATACACTTGAATATTTTCCTACCAAGGGAACAATTTCCTGTCTCCTGGCTAGCATGCCAGTTGGGACAATGTGATTGTTTTAACTGACAGAACAGAGATCCACGTAAGAGATAGGCTCCCGACACACCTGTCAGGTATTATGTAGATAAACTGAAGTGGGAAGACTCATTTTAACTGTTCACAGAACCATTCCCTGATCGAGGGTCCTGGGCTGGGGAAATGGGGAAAGTGAGCTGAGCACCAGTGGTTGTCACTCTGCATCTTGACTTGTGGATACTATGTGGCTGACTCCTTCAAGCTCCTGTGGATGTGACTCCCCAGCCATGACAAACTGTAGCACAGAACTGTGGCCAAGATATCCATCTTTCCTTAAGTTGCTTCTAAAAAGTTTTATTTTATTTTTTGTATTATGTATATGTGTCCATGTGTGGGTAGGTGCACACGTGAGTGCAGGTACCCACAGAGGCCAGAACAGGGCATCGGATCCCTTGGAGCTAGAGTTAGAGGTGGTCATGGATGGTCCACATGGGTGTCAGAAACTGAACTAGGATCCTCATAGGAGCAGCAAGTACTCTTAAGCACCGGGCAATCCCTCCAGCCCCCTTAAATTGCTTTTGTCAGGGTATGAGCACAGCAGTAGTAAGAGAAGCTATGACTGACGACTCTTACTTTAGGTTTTCTGATGCATTCAAGTGTGTTCAGACTTGGTGTGTCCACTCAGAGGGTGCCAGGGACCCTCAGTCCCACATCTTCTCTCCCTTTCCTAGTGCAGTAAGCAGACCCCAACCAGAAGCACTTTCTGGCCAACCATGGCTTCCACACTCAGTCAACGCCCTGTCCCAGGGTGAGGAAGCCCATCAGGCATACCTGTTCTTCATCACTCTCAATGATGACTAGTTGGGCCTCCACTTCCAGGCAGGCAGTGATGGAATCATTCCAGTTACGCCGGGACTTGGAGAAGAAGTAACACTTTCCATGGAAGAATGTCCACTCCCAGGGGCAAGGACGGCAAATGCTGTCTATTGGGGGAGGGTAGATCAGGAGGGACCCACAATTGGATGCCCATGATCCTGCATTTGCTCCAGCCTTCCAGAGTCAGGGTCCTCCCTCACTTGACACTGCATCCTGGGTGAAGTAGGAACTTAAGAGATCGAAACAGAGCCCAGGAGACTATCTTGACTACTGTGCCCATGACCAACGTGAACACTGAGTGCCTACTGCATACACAGTGCTGGAAACATTGAGTGCTGCTGATGTGTATGACCTCTGTGAGTACTGACTGCCTACTATGTGTGTCACCCCTGAGACCACAAAACCATTCCCTGGCTGTTGCCCTGTGTTCCTATTAATTAATTTGTTTGCCTATTGTGTGTACATGCATTTGTGTGTGTAAAGGTGTATAAGTGCACTAAGCTGGCTGGCCAGTGAGTCTGAGGGAATCCCCCTCCATTTCCCCAGTGCTGGAGGTAGAAACATGCATCCCCATACCTTTTTATTTAAAAACATAGCTTCTGTGGCTCAAACTCAGATTCTGTATAGCAAGCACTTTACCCACTGAGACATCAAGTCCCCACAGAAGTGGAAACTGAGGCCTGGAGAGGGTCAATGCCTCAAACATAGTGTGTTCACAAGGAGACCTTCTCAGGTCCTTGGAGGCCTGATTTCTGGTCACTTACCCAATCCACCCTTCAGTTGCAGCAGCTGCTTATAGATTTTCTCATATCCTGGGGAGCTGGGGCCCTTGAAACCTGCACCAAAAGAATCCAGAAACTAAAATTGTACAAATACTCATTGTGTGTTATGACCTGCACTGGATTGCTGCAGCAGAACACCTCTCATCACATTTAAAAAGAAGAAAATGACACATAGATGACCGAACCACAAGAAATGGACCCAGGCCCTTCTCCTACCCATACCCCCCACCTCCCGACACACTTCTGCTCCAGTGTGGGAAGCCCCTATAGGCCTCAGTGTGGCCCACTCTCAACATTTCCCTCTTTTCACTCCCAGATCCCGCTGCCACGGCCAGTGGGCCATACCACAGAGCTGGAAATGCCTGTTCCCGCCTGACCTTGAACAAGAACAGCGACCAGCAGCCCAGTCAGGAGCAGGACAGAGAGGAGATGCAGTACCAGGCAGCCTTGGTTGTGGCTCAGCCACCCTGTGGGAGAGGCAGGTATTTCAAAACAAGGCCACCAATCACCTGTGCCAAGAAAACAGCAGTTCGGGTTCCAGCCTTCACCTTTCTGGTGCACTGGAGGTCAGGGTCTAGTCTCTAGGCCTGAGCCGTTAGATTCCAGGAACCCAGAGAAATGTCTAATTCTCCAGGATCCAAGACTCTTAGAAAATACTTCTGCATCTTCTTGGCTTCGTGTCTCCACAACTCCATAGCTAAAGAACACACACACACACACACACACACACACACACACACACACACACACGCCCACAGTGTGTATATATGTGTGCACACTTGTGTGACTGTGTGCGGAGGCCAGAGGTGACCACTCTGAGACCCAAGCTGCCACCCACCCCATCCGTGTGTCACCTAGGAGGCCTGGCTGCTGCTTCTCGCTTGCTTCCATGGGGTCACTCATCATTGCTGCTGTCCTTCAGTGCCCTTGACTGCTGGCAACATCAGCTTTTAATTTCCACACATCTGCTCCTCACTCTCTGAACTTGGAAAGAGAAAAGGGGAAGTGGGGACCAGCACCAGAAGAGGCCAGAGGGAGGTGCTGAGCATCTGACACAGCAGGACTTCCCATGAATTTAGGGGAGGGCTATGGAGGTGTGTTAGGTACTTCCTTCATTGCTGCTACCAAATACCTGATGAAAACAACTCAAAGAAACACAGGGTTTCAGTTTGGGTATTGACTAGCAGTGTGAGGGTGCAGTTCACCCAGTGTGGAAGTGAGAGTGACCACAACCTAAGGAAACTGCTCACGTTGACACCATAGGAAGCAGAGAGGGAGAAGAGAGTCCGTGTGCAGCTCACTTTCTCCTCTTCCTGCCACCCTCTGACCCTAGATCCAGGAACACTAGTGGGGACTCTGCAGCAGCTTTTCTCAGGGAGAAGTTTCTTTCTGGGCTCCTGTGCTGTCTGCAATGTCAACTGAAACTGCAGTGGAGGGCGATGTCTACACAGCTCTGGAATGCTGTGCACCAGCACAATCCTTTCCACAGGAGTGCTGCTGCCATGTGTGAACTTGTGGCCCCCAGAGCTGTAAGGGAAACCTCACCGGAGTCTGTTGGCCCAGGTGCTGAGACAGTTCAAGGACTGAGTGTCAGTCCCTGCCCTGAATTCCTGCCCTGACTTCTCTGGATGTCAGATTACAAGGTTTAAGATGAAATAAACCCCTTCCTCCCCGAGTTGCTTTTGGTCACTGTGTTTTATCAGCAGCAGAGACCCCAGTGGAGACAATAGTGACTCTAGCTTGACACAACTAACCAGCATATGGACTAGGATTTGACTGTAGGGAAACAGTGAGTTTGTCTGAGAGGCTGAGGGCCTGACCCAGTAGATGAAGGTGGCTGTTTCTTCAAGGCTGTTCCAGCAAAAGACAGGATAAACACAGAGTCTTAATGACAAACACTGCTTTCATCATTCACCTTCCTGACTGATGCACCTTGTCCTTCTGTTCCTTCTTTCACAAACACTTTGTGACTCTTACTCATTTATTTACTTATTTTTAACGCACTAACCCAATTAGTGCTTTCTATATGCACATGAGTGTGTGGTCATCCACCAGGACATGGGCAACCTACAGGGGACCTCACCCAAACAAAAGTGACTCTCCCTCCATCAGTGGCCATCAGCTGCCAACAGCTCCTCAGCTGGTGGTAGGGCCTAGGGAGAGCCTTTTCTCTCCTTGGTAGAGTTTTTAACTGGTTTGATCTTGCACTGGTTTGATTCAGGCAGGTAAGCACAGTTACTGTGACCTCAGGAGTGCAGCAGCATGTCCTGTCCAGAGGACATTTCATAGCATTCCTCCCCATGGTTAGGCTCTTACACTCTTTGTTAGCAGTTCAGGCAAATACCTAGGCAGCTCCCAGGGTCTTAGGGCTGTAAGTCACATAATCTATGTGCATGCGCTGCCTGTCTGCATAAGCCTCTACACATGCACTAGAACCCCCTTTAAAGGCAAGCTCCACCCATTCCTTGATCTCTTTCCCACTGCCCCTGGGAGAGGCCAGCAGGCAAGGGGGCCCTTGCACCTCAACCAATCATTTCTTCCCTCTCCCATCCCCTCCCATCCCTCCCTCTCCCTTCCCTTCCCCTCCCCCGCGCCTCTTCCAATCATTCCCTCTTTCTCCCTTCTCTGCTCTTCTCTCAACTCTTGTCTCCCCCTTAATAAACCCTCCACGTGACCCTGTCACATGGTGTGTCTGTCTGCTCTTGCCCTCCGTTTTAACAGTCTTCCCTCCCCTCTTCTGAGTGTTTTAAGAATCTCGGCAGAGGAGAGGGGATCAGGTTCACCTAGGTATCTCAACATGGAAGGCTTGGTGTTTGCTTAGTTTCTTTTCCTGCTTTTCATACTGTGTGGAGCAAATTCTGGGAACACTGGCCCCCAGTTAGAGCCCTTTAACAGTGGCAGTGGGATTTCTGAACACAGAGAACCAGCCTCCACAGTTGATACTGTGGACCAAGGAGAGTCAAGCAATCTGAAAAGTAAACAAGATTCCCAGGAATTTTATTCCTAAAGTGACAAATTGAAATAACTGAAGGCCTAAATCATTAAAATGCTCACTACCATAATATCTCTCTTTAGACCTTCAGAGCCTAAAACATCTGGTGACTTCCTCTCTTTCTCCCTCCCTCCCTTCCTATTCATGTGTAAACATGTGTGCCTGCATGAGTTTATGAGCACCACATGACATGGATGCTTGCCACCATCAGAAGAGGGTGTTACATCTCCCAGAACTGAAGTTACAGGTCACTTGGGGCCACCCAATGTGGGTGCTTGAAACTGAAGCTAGGCCCTCTTCAAGAGGAATAAGAGCTCTTAGCCACTGAGTCATCTCTCCAGTCCCTAGTGGCTTCTAACTATTAATTAAATTTGTTCTTAAACAATTCCCCACATGTATAAAGTGCACACTGACCACACTTGATCCTTAGCCTCTTCCATCTCCCTAACACCTCTGTCCACTCCCTACCCTCCAATGAACCTCACCCATGCCCACATCTGTTTATTCTGTTTGTGACCTACTGAATCTAACCAGGGTCATGTGTGTGACCCTGGAGCTGGTGCTCTTCATTGGAAACTGGTGGGCTCAGCAGTGAGTACACAACCAAGGACAATGACTTCCTCTCTCAGAACCTCTTAACAGCTGTTCCAAGGTCATGGATTGGGCCCTGATAGCACCTGACCATTACTTGACTGATAGGGCAAGTCTTGCATGGGTCCAGGGCAGGCAACTGCTGTTGTGAGTTAGTGATTGCAATAGTTGTGTGGATTCTAGAGAATGGCATTTGCAGCCCTTGACTCTACCTTCTGCCTCTTACATGCTCTCTGTACCCTTTTCCAGAATGTTGCCTGAGCCTTTCAGGAGGGATGTCTATATGCCTTGTTTAGTGCTGAGGCCACAACTCTCACTCATTCTCAGCATCTTGAACAGCCACCAGTGTCTGAATTCACTGCTGTTCATTGTAAGAATGCTTTCTTAATGCCCGCCCATCCTGACCCAATCTCTTCCTAGACATCACCTATGAGAAGCTTGAAAGTGGCTGCCAGGTTTAACTTTCTGAAAAGTAACATGTCTGTTTAAAGAAAATTGAACCGTGTTATAGGTCAGGATAAACTTCAACACTCCAGGTAGGAGGATAAAGGAGACATATGCTGTAGATAAGAATGGTTCACTCAGGAGATAGCTTTACTGCTTATGCTCTCCCTGTACCTCTTCCTCTCCTAATAAAGACATTAGCATACTTGGGTTTCCCAAGATGAACCTTAGATGGTGATAGCCCTGCCTGTTCCAGGAAGCCAGATGTTAATACACCTGATTCCTTTGTGCTGATTATCATCTCTTAAGTATTGCATCTGACTGACATACTTTTCTGTTGCCATGATAAAAATACCCAGACAGAAAGCAATATAGGGATGGAAGGGTTTATTTTGGCTTATTGCTCCAAAGAGATAGAGTTCATCATGGTTGTAGAGACATAGCAACAGGCAGGGAAAGGTAAAGCATGGCATCGGGAACAGGAAGCTGGCTGATCACACTTTCATCCAGACACAAGACACAGAGTGAGAACAGCAGATGAGGTGAGAATATAAACTCCAAAACACACCCCTAATGATGTGCTTTCTCTAGCAAGGGTCCAGCTGCTGAAGTTCCATCAACTCCTCAAACAGCACCACCTACTGGAGACCAAGTGTTCAAATAGGCAAGCCTCTGGGGGACAATCTCAGTCAAACCAACACAATGGTAAGCAATCCAGAATTTTCTCCAGGAAGAAAGCTGAAAATATGGGTCAGAACCATAGTCTCAACCAAAGAAACTGTACGCACAGGGGAAAAGGTGTGTGTAAAAGTAGAGTCCAGATCTATTGGTGAGAGCCCAGTATCCACAGAAAGGCAGAAGGAACTGAAATGAATGTACTTCAAGTTTGACTAAGTGATAAATCGGTTGGACAAACGATGGCCATGGAGGTGGGCAGATTTCACCTAGAGCAGGGAGATGCAGGCTTCTTGCAGATCCAGAATTTCTCTAAGGAACATGAGTTATCATTCCATCCATTTTCTGAAAAGTCTGCACAGTCTTCATCGTAAACGTTGTTGGGCTCCCCTCGAGACCAATATTGGCTGAAATTGAAAATCCCCAAACAACATGAGCCTCTGTCCCAGCCTATATTGTCACTATATCTAACTTGTGACACTGAAGTGCTTGAAGTATTTGTGTAAGAAACCCTTATACAGAATCAAGAGACTTCAAATTGTGAAACTGACACATTTTAATCATTGGTTTTGCAGAATCATGTCAGCTGGACCAAAGGCAAAAATTGGCTCCCATTCAGATTTGATGCAAAGCAGTGGTTTTTATATTCCTTACTGCATTTACTGTCCCCCTTTATTCCTTAATGGCTCAGTTCTTCAGCAGGGAACATTCTTCCCAGCATCTAGTATAGCCTCCTTCTCAAATTCCCCATTCTATTGAGTCAGGACACAAAACCTTGTCTAACAAGGGACTTGAGATTCCCTCCCCACCATCCCTGTCACATGGACTGAGTCACATAGCAGCTTCCTGTCACTCTTTAACCCTAATCTAAACTGAGATCTCCTGACATGCAAGTGCCAGCTGTGGAAATCTGGGGCCCAGTGTTTCTTGCTTATCTGTGATTCTTTGATGATCTCTATCATGCCTCATACTGAAAATGGAACATTAAGACATCTCAGAGCCAACTGACATTCTGAACCAGCCTGGTTTATAATCTCCCATGTTTCTTTCCATGGACATCAAGAGAACGGCCTTGGCCTCCTTCCTTCCACCTGTTTCTTTTCATGTCTCCATGGTATGAGGCAGTTCCTTTGTAGCTCACTTTACATCATGGATCTTTAAGTATGACAAGCTGTATTTTTGTTTGTTTGTTTTGAGACAGGGTTTCTCTGTGTGGCTTTGTAGCTTGTCCTGGAACTCACTCTGTTTACCAGGCTGGCCTCGAACTCATAGAGATATGCCTGCCTTTGCCTCCTGAGTGCTGGGATTAAAGGCATTTGCCACCACTACCCGGTGACAAGCTGTATTTTTAAGGCAACCATACTCCTGTATTTAGATTCTCTTAGTACCCTGAACTGGATCATTCGTTGCCTCAGAACTAATCCTTTTGAGCACAACAACCTCCATTTTCATTGTTTCAGGTGAGTCTGCTTGCAAAGTCCATCTCAATTGGTCTTGGTGGACAGTTCACATTTCCTATTAGGAGAAGTTGGGGAGGGTCATCAAATCCTCACCTGAGATTCCACCCCCGCAGTGAGTAAGAACTATTCACACATCCCTAGGGAAGAATTTCTGCAATATCTATCAAAGAACAGGTGGTGATATCTGATCCCATTTCATTATACATCCCTATAGCCCAACTGCCATATCTAGGAATCCGAGAAGCAGATAGAAACCATAACTATTTCTTGGGGCATAGTTTCACCCCCAACACCATGCATTACCTCCATTTCAGTGGTGAACCATCCAACCACATCCATTTCCCTTCCTGTTTTATGTCCGACAGCCCCATCCAGGCATTGCCTATCTTCTTAGAGGTCTGCTGCAGGAAGCTCTGGAGAGGAAGGGGAAGCCATGACGGTCTCTGCCGTCATTTTCTACCTTGGTCCATAGTTCTGCTTACAGTCTGACCCTCAGCTTTCTAGTGCAACAACAAACCCATATGTGTGCTTAGATACCCCACACACTTTACATGCACACATGCACAGGCACAGAGATGATGATCAGGCCAGACCTCACACAAGTTCTCTCTGGGACAGAGGATTAAGAAGCAGTGTGTGCTATGACAAATCCTATTGTTTGGCATCTGCCTCCCCGTTGTTGCATAAAATAATGTGACATGAAACTTGCTCTCAGATTCCCAAACTTATAGAAGTCTGGTGTTTCCTAGGATCTGGACATCTCTAGGGATTATCTCTTCAGAATAATAAACCGTGTGTGTGTGTGTGTGTGTGTGTGTGTGTGTGTGTGTGTGTGTGTGTGCGCGCATGTGTCTGTGTGCATATGAAGGTGTGTGTGTGTGTGTGTGTGTCTCACAGGACAACTTGTAGGAGTTGGTTCTCTTCCTACCCTGCATTAACAAGCACTGTTACCCACTGATCCACCTTCCAGGCCCCAGGTTAAGACTTTGAACACCAGTGGAAGTCCTGTTACACTGGCCAGCACTCCAGAAGTGTCCCTTTCATATTAAGTGTTCCCTAGAGCAAGCATCCATGTAACCACTTGTGTTGACACACGTTCACATTCTTGGACCAGCCCCTCCCAGTCCATAGCTGTGTTATCTCCCCTTTTCATGTGTAATGATGAATACTTATCTGAAAAATTCTACCTAGCTAAAGCCATGCCCACACAAGTGCAAAGCCCCAGCTCAACACACCTGCTCCTCATGACTCTTGATGACAACAAGTTGGGCCCCCCCTTCCTGGCAGGCGGTGACAGATTCCTTCCAGTTCTGTTGGAACTTGGAGAAGAAGTAACAGTTTCCTTGGAAGAGAGTCCAGTCCCAGGGGCAGGGGCGGCACAGGCGGTCTGTTTGGGAAGGTGAGTCAGGTTAAACACACAGTGGTGTCCATGTACGTGGATCAGTCCAGCCTTTAGGACTTCAAGAGTTGTCACTCTCTCTTGAAACTGCACATGGGGAACCATGTTCCTCTATCTTTTGTAGTGTGTGTTGTATTCTTGTGTGTTCGTGTGTGCGTGTGTGTGTGTGTGTGCACTGTTCTGTGTGTGTGCAAGTGGAGGCCAGATTGAATGTTGGAAGTCTTCCTTCATTGCCATATATTTTTTAATTCTCATATATAAGAAACAGTAAAAATGAAAGAAAAAGACCATCAATTTCAGAGAAAAGCATGGGAGGCTCACAAACAAGGGAAAGAATTTGCGTAATTGTCACTTAGCTAAAAATTTAAATTAAAAAACATATTATTTATTTATTTTTGAATATTTGATACACACAGACAATATCTTTTTGTCTTGCTTTTTAGATTATAATTTAATTAGAACAATTCTCCCTTCCCTTCATCCTTCCAAACCTTCCTATGTATCCCTCTCCACTCTTCTTGGAGTTCATGATCTTTGTAAACTGACTGTTACTGCACGCACATCTGTATGCAGTCATGCACATATGTATGCAGTAATATCTTTTGATCAAATCCCCCCAATGCCCTCCCTTCAGAAGCACCCAACCACTTGACCTTGCCAACTTCATGCACTGCTGTTTTAGTCTACTGTGTCAAGCTAGTACTTCCAGCCAGTGTGTCTGTCCTTCCTTCCTTCCTTCCTTTTATATATTTGTTTACTTATTTCTACATCTCTGTCTGCCTGTTTACATCTCTCTTTCCTTCCTGTCTTACTTTTGAGACTGGTTCTCCCACTGAACCTAGAGCTCCCAGTTATGGCCAGACTATCAAGTGAGTCCTGGAATCTGCCTGTCTCCCCAACACCCCCAAGTAACAGGCATGTGTGACTACACTCAGCTTCTGTGTGGGTGTGAGCAATCCAAACCCAGGTCCTCATGATTGTCAAGAAAGCACTTTATTTGCTGAGCTATATCCCCAGGCACAGTCATTTCCCTCTTAACTTCCTGAGTCTGTCCCCTCCAGGGTAACCCAGGAGGCCATGGCCACCTCACATAAGCACATATCAGAACAGTCAGGAGTCTGGTTTAATTGAACATGTTCTGTGTGCATGGCCCTTGTGTCTAGTGACTGCCATCCTTAATGTTACTCTGTGTTCCCATTCAACAGATAGAGAAACTGAGGGACTGGAGGCCCAGTCTCCAAAGTCACCTCATACCACATGGAAACCTTTTCATACTCTTGGAAATCCATTTTCTGGTCACACACCTAGTCCAGCCTTCAGTTGGTCCAGTTCCTGGTGGATGCGTTGCTTTACCTGCTCCTGCTCCTGCTCCTGCTCCTGCTCCTGCTCCTGCTCCTGCTCCTGCTCCTGGGAGGTAGGAACATCAGAGCCTATGCCAAGAGAGTGAAGATGAAAACATTAAATGCTGATAGATGTAAGAGAGGTAGCCACTGGTTAAGGAAAGGAGCTGACCCCAACTCACCCTTCAGGAATTAGCTCTATTAGAAGGGCTTCAAGACTATGCCCAAGCCTCCAGGTTTGGAAAGAAAACATTACTATATGAAAACAGTGTAACAGGTCCCTAAAACAAGAGAGAGTCTTCCCTTTAACACCTGGAAGAGTTTCTAGCAAGAGTAAGAGAATAGCTTTCAGGACAGGATGACAGATGATGGGACAGGACCACAGCAGCCTTCAGAGAAGTTCCCCAAACAAAGGAAAGATCTGACTTTTACACTTCCAGGGAGTCGCAGGAGTTTCACCCCACATGATTTGTTCAGCATAGCATAGGTGACAAAGAGCACAGAGGGGCCGGGTACATGCACTGGAGGCTGTCAAGTCACACAGAATCTTTTTAACTCTCTGACCCAGAAAAGGAGGGCTGCTAGGAGCTAGGTCTGACTGCTTCAGCTGTGGGATCCAGACTTTAAAGTGACCAGAAGCTCTCAGTACTGACCAGGGCAGCTCCTTCTTGCAGTAAGTTGTGATTGGCATAGAGACTCACAGTGTCTCAATGTGCAAAGGATAAGATCCTCTGGAGATGGGATCGCAGGTGGGATTCTCTAACTCGAACCCTCCCCCAGGAGCTCAGGGATCATCATGAAGGGCTCAGAGAGACTGTGGCAGCCAGAGGCAGTGGAGGACAGCTGCAAAACTGTTTCCTGGACCCCACAGGCCTGATGCTCATGTGGACTCACAGAGCTGTGACTGCAGTTCAAACCTGCTCAGCTAAGCCAGAAAACATCCAAAACAGATGGAGAAGGGACCCATGAATCCCCAACCCTAGGTGAGGAACTATGAGCAACTGATGGCTGCTGTGGGAGGGTCTCTTACCCTCTGTCCCTAGAGGCTACCCATACTCCAGAGGCTGATCTTACACCCATGTATCTGTAGAACAGTAACTGGATTTGGTGGATTATAAAAATGAAGGAGCACATGGAGTTGGGAGGAAAAAGTGCTGGAGACAGGGGAGGAACTGGAGGGTAGGGAGGAAGTAGTAGACTTGATTAAAATATTATATTCACATATGAAATTTGCAAATAATATATTTAAAGGCCAGCCAGTCCAGGATTTAACTAACAGTATTGGGTCCCCAGGAACATCATGCTCAAGTCCCAGCATCTTATTTCAAGCTGTCTCATTGAAGATGAGGAATCCTGGTGCCCAGGGAAGCATGAACCACAGGGCAAATGGAGTCAGACCACACCCCTGAGACTACTTCCTTCCTGCCACACAGGAGTCTTGAGATGACCGGTGACTAGTTCCTAGCAGGCAAGTAAGACCACAGTCAGGGCTCCTGCGTCCCCTCTACCCCAAGCTGAAAGGTTAGATCAGGAAGCCCCAACCTGGAAGTTTCCTGACCTTTGACAAGGACAGCCACGAGGAGAGCGGCCAAGAGCACCAGGGAGATGAGCTGCAGTATCATGATGGACCAATGACAGTCCTGACACCCTGAGGAAAGAAAGTCAAGTGGTCCTGCAGGCCCTTGTCCCTGCCACACCCTGAACCAGAGAGAGCCTAGCCCCTCTTTCCCTTTCTGAACACAGGATTACAGACGCTCAGTCAGCATTCTCCCATTGCCTGGGTTTTCCTGTCCATCATCAGCCACATGAGCATCAGAAGTCTGTTTTCAGCCTCAGCTATCCCAGGACCCTGCATTTCAATCATCCCATTTCAAACTCTCTGACACCAATAACAAAGATCCTCAGGGCCACCACTCCATGAACCACAAGATCAGTTCCCAGATGCCACTTTCACAGGAGCAGGACTTCAGACCTCAGCTCTACTTCTTATGATGGGGCATTCAGCACCCTCCTGTACACCACAGGATTGAGGATTCCTGTTTCCCAGTATGCACCTCACCTAACAGGGCTCCTCTTCCTAGACACTGATTCCCCAAGACACAGAAGGTCAGACTCACCTTTCACCTCTCTAAGACCCAGGAATGAAATAATCAACCTCCTCCTCTGTAGGAGCTAGGAATACAGCCTCCAGCTCTCACTTCTTCAGGACAGAAGAGTCTAGACCATCAGCTCTGCCTTGACAGGCCTCAGGATTCCAGGTTTTCAGAATCAATGTTCTTAGGACTCAGGACTCTAGAGCCCAGCCTCCTCTTCTCCAGTGTCCAGGAGTCAAGTCCTCAAGGGTTCATCTCCTCAAGATCCAGCTTTCCAACTTCACATCTTCCATTCCCCAGACAAAAAGATATAGACCCGCAGGACCATCCCAGGACCCAGGGATCCACAAGCCAGTCTCCCTGCCCCAGTACTGAAGACTCCTGGTTCTGTCCTATCCTTAGTACCTTGCAAACCCTTGTCTACTTCAGAAACTCTTGAAGCCAAGAGGAGGCTGTAGTCCAAGGCTTCTTAGAAATAGCTGGTGCTCCTGATCATAAACTCCGTCACTGAACAGTTGTATCATCTGTCAGAGCCTGAGCAGGCTGAGACCTGAGCTGCCTCTCCTGACTCTTCCCTGAGCTCCCTGCATCCTAGCTCAGTCTTACCTGGGGAGCACAGATGATTCTCCCTCTCTTCCTTGGAGTCACCCATGGTCCTTGCTCTCCAACAGTATGAAGAAATCTAGAGCCCGGTTTGTCTTTGCCACTCCCTTTCCACACTCCTCTAACCTATTCTCAACCAGGAAGAGAAAAGGAGAAGTGGAGATTGTCACCAGATGAGCTACAGGAAGGAGGCTGAGGATCAGACATAGGATGAAATGGACAAGCTCCAGGGATTTCAGGGAGATGAGGATGTTTAGAAGACCAGAGTCAAAAGCATTGGTCTATTCTTGGCAGGACCAATCTCTTGATGCCTTTAACAAAAACATCCCATTCAGGTATAGTACTCCTGGGATCTACACAAAGGTCTCTGTATCCTAATACAGAGGTATCTAACCATCCATGTTCATTGCTGTATCTAACCATCCATGTTCATTGCTTCTAGACTCACAATAGCCAGGAAATGGAAGCAGCCAAGATGCCTATCCACTAACAACTGGGTAATGGTAATGGTAATGGTTTCACACATCCCTATACATATAATTATTCCTCTTGACTTTCATGCTTATTTTAATATCTTTTGTGTGAGTGCAGATGACTGTGCATAAATGCAGCCTTGGGAAGTAGAGACCATAGTCCCCTAGAGCATGCTCCCTAGAAAGACTGGCCATCTGGGTGAGTTGTGAGTCATTCACAGACCATGCCTTGGGAAATAAAGTACAAGAGCAGTCAAAGATGATCCCCAATATCAACCTCAGGCCTCCAAATGCACCTGCCCCCCCAAATACCACTGCCCAGACACATGCAAATGTCATATACATATATGCACATGCTCCTTGCAAACAAACATTATAATAAAATAATTTAAACTTACAAAATAGGCCTGATTTGTTATGTCTCCTGGACCTATAGTGAAGATTAGGAAGGACTTTCCTCATTCTCCCTGAAACCTATTCTTAACTGTCCCCGGGGTTTGTTGCCTTATTTTGCAAATGTCCTCATTCATGGCAGTTTCTAGTGATTGACACTTGGCACTGAATCATCCATTTACATTTGTTTATTCCGTGTTATGAGAAATGTCCAGAATATAGAAACTGATACACTTCCATGTAGTCCGCACACTAGGCAGAGGAGTTCTCTTCATCTTTTAGGGTTTCAACTAATATGAAACCAGGTCCATGGTTTTGATGCAGAAAGGACTTCAGAATGAGGCAGTATCACGCTGAGTTGGAGTTTCTTAAAAATAAATGGTGGTTGGCCGAGATGACTCAGGGGGTAGAGTCTTGCTGTCAACCCTGACCTTGGATTGATCCTGGGACTCACATGGTGAAAGGAGGGAAGGATCTCCCACAAGTTCTCTCCTGACCTTCACACATTCACCATGGCATGTGCACATTCACACACGAGCAGGAACACACAAGAAATAAGTGAGTGAGTAGATGAATGAATGTAGCAAAAACAGAAAAATAGTGATGTGCCCAAGGAAAGAAAAAGTCACACCCCAGAGCTTCTTGAATATTTTTATCTAAGTATTTTAACAGGCACTGTAGCATTTTGGAAACTTTTTGAATTTCATTCCTTTTCAGGATTCTTGAATTTCTTTCAAAACGTTTCTGTCTGCTAACTTGTGAGTGTGCCTTTTATGATTCTTGCTTCCTTTCTGTTAGTGACAGTGAACTCAGTTGACCTTAAACTAACTCCTGCCTACATTGTCCGAAGGTAAGGCAGAGGCGGTGACCAGACACTGGGGATGAGCTACCTGATGTTGCTTCTGCTGCCTCTGCTGCTCCTGGACGGGCATCCCCTTCAGAGTGGGGGCTGGAAACGACTCCTTTAAATCTCTGTCCTTCAAACACACACCTTCAAAGTAATTTAAAAATTGAGATTATAATATAGTTCCATCATTTTCCCTTCCCTGTTCCCCTCCAAACCCTCCCATATACTCCCCTTGATCATTTCAGATTCACCTAAATACCTGAATATAACCTGCCCAGTCTGTATGAAGTTCCTTGTGTGTATAGGTTCACGGCTGACTGTAGATGTAACCAACCATCTTATTAAATAAGAAACACAGAGCCAATTCAGAGAAGAAAGCCAAGAGGTCAGAGCTAAGAGCCTTACCCTTCCTGCTTCAGTGATTCTCTTCAGCCAAGAGAACTCTCGGAAAGGGAGCCTACTTCCTGTATGTTTGTCTTTATATAGTCTTTCTGTTCTGTCTTCTCATTGGTTGTAAACCCAAACACATGACTGCCTCATCACTGCCTGTCTGTAGAGACTTCCCGATCTTCTATGGTTGGTATTGAGATTAAAGGCATGTGTTTCCAATGCTGGCTGTATCCTTGAACACACAGAGATCTACCTAGCTCTGTCTACCAAGTGCTGGGATTAAAGGCATGTGCCACCACCGCCACGCTCTTGCTATGGCTCTAATAGCTCTGACCCCCGGGCAACTTTATTTATTAACATACAATTAAAATCACATTTCAGTACATATAAAATACCACCATAGCTGACAATTTCATCTTGGATAACCAATTGGTGAACTCTTCACTGGAGAAGACATTTCTACTCTCAGTATTCATTAGTTGCCTGTAGTACTTTGTTCAGGGTTAAGATCTCATGATCTTTCCCTGATGCACTTTGGCATGTCTCTTGTTTTGTACCTGTTCAGCTCATGTTCAGGTGGTCATGTTGGTGAGACTTTAAGGGTATAACTTCTGACATCACTAGGAGACATAACTTCACAGCAAACTCCCTGTTCCTCTGGCTCATACAATATTTATGGCCTTCTTCCACACTGTTCCTTAAGCATTAGGTCTAAGTTTTATGCTGTTGATGTATCCATTGGAACTGGGCTCCACAACTCTGCTTTTTAATTGGTGTGGTTTCTTTGATGGTCAGTGTCTATTTCATTGAGAACTTTCCTTGACAAGGGGTGAGAACTACACTTGCCTGTGGATATAACAACAGATGTTTAGAGTGTAGTTAGGGATTATGATGGTTTAGTGGAGTTTTGGTTGTGGTTTTTCCTCCAAGATGTATGACATCTCTAGCCCTGGGTAGCTGGATAGCTTTCCAATACAAGGCATGATTTCTCTCTTTTGGAGGGCTCTCAAGTCCAATCAGAGAGCTGTTGGTTGTTGCCAAGGAATTAATGCCACTACTGCTCTCTTTAGTGTTATCATGCCATGTTGTTCATTGTTGTGGCTCATAGGCAAATTTTAAATTTTTTTTATTGAAAATAGATTCTTTGTCATTCTGTGCCCCTCCCCCCAGCCACTGAAGCCCCAGGGACCAGGCAGCTGCCTCTACTCCCACCCCCTCACCAAGAAAACAAACCCCCCTGACACCAAAGACTACCAGACTTATAAGTCCATCCTGTATTGATTGGCAATAGCTGCCATCTGAGACACAGAATCCATCAGCACTGACTGGACCAAGAGCCTGGATTTGACAAGACTTCCTATTAGACCAACAGTATCAATCAGACCAAGAGAGGTTCCCTCAGACACAGATAACACTTGCACAGAGTAGAGGAAGAGATGGGTAGATGCCAGTGCAAAAATACTGCCAACAACATAAAGACCAATATGAACCTAGGGGTTCTACATCAGCAAGACCTGAACATCCCAATGCAGAAGAATCAGAAGAAATCGATGATAAAAATGACTTTAAGATGATGATAGAGGCCTTTAAAGAGGAAATGAAAATTTTCCTTAAAGAAATTGAAGAAAAAACAAACAAAAAATTGGAAGAAATCAATAAATCCCTTAAAGAAGGCCAAGAACAAGCTATTAGACAGGCGAAGGAAACAGTCCAAGATTTGAAAATGGAAATAGAGGCAATAGAAGACTCAAACTGAGGGAATGCTGGAAGTGGAAAGTCTGAGTAAATGAACAGGAACTATAGATGCAAGCATAACCAACAGA